AGCAAAGGTGCAGCCTTCACTTGTTCTCCAAAGTCAGATAACACAAACCTCAGCCATATTGCCTGTGTTGTAGCTTCTGCAGCATTTATAAATTTAGCTTCTGCAGTGGATAAAGCCACACTGCATTGCTTGACAGAAGCCCAAGAAAATATCCCTGGGCCAAAGTTGAATGCATAGCCCGAGGTACTCTTCATATCATCCAAGCTTCATGCCCAGTCACTATCACAGTAGCCTATCAACACAACTTCTTTACCCTTCACATACTTAATTCTAAAATCCAATGTCCCTTAGACATATCTCAAGACCTTTTTAGTTGTCCCCATGTGCTTCCTAGTAGACTTATGCATAAATCTTGCCAATAAACATGATGCATACATCAAATCTAGTCTAGTAGTTGTTAGGTATAACAAACTACCAACCATTTTTCTATACAAACCCTCATTAACATCTTCACTTTCATCAACCTTAAATAGCTTCTCATTGATTGCAAGTGGAGTCTTCACAGCTTTACAGTCCTTTAAACCAAACTTCTTAAGTAAGGACTTGACATATTTCTTCTAATGGATAAATATGCCCTTATCAGTTTGAATTATGCCTAAACCAAGGAAATGATGTAACAATCCCAAGTTTGATATCTCATAATGTTTCATCATATCCATCTTAAACTCTTGAATCATTTCATCAAAACTCCTTGTGTAGATAATGTCATCTACATACAGAGACATAATAAGCACACCTGCATCACTGAATTTAGTATACAAAGTAGCTTCACTTTGACTTTTCTTAAACCCAGACTTGTTGAAGTATGTATCTATTTCATCATACCAAGCTCTGGGAGCTTGTTTCAAACCATATAAGGCCTTTTTCAGTCTGTAAACTTTGTCTTCTTGCCCTGTGACTTCAAATCCCTGTGGTTGATCAACATATACTTCCTCATGCAGTGTACCATTTAGAAATGTAGATTCGACATCCAATTGGAACAATCTTCATTCCTTTTAAGCTACCAATGCAATTAAAGTTCTAATGGTATCAAGCCTTACCATTGGTGCAAATGTCTCATTGAAGTCAACCCCAGGCTTCTGAGAGTAGCCCTTTACCACTAACCTTGCCTTGTTCTTCTGCATTGAGCCATCCAGATTAAGTTGTCTTATAGACCCATTTGACACCAATTACTGGTTTATCAAATAGTCTATTAACTAGCTCCCATGTGTCATTCTTTTCATTTCAATCTTTGTAGACATAGCTTTTCTCCAAGCTTCATCCCCTGATGCCTTTTCAAAACACTCAGGCTTTATTATACAAAAATTGCACCTTTCATATACTTCATTCAAGCTCCTGAACCTGAGAGGAGTATGATCATACTCTTGTGGACCAGTGTGGTTCACTTGTTCCCCTTGACTTGAAGAAGAAGCAATAATTTGATCATGTTGCTCCTGCAATAGCTCTGAGCACTCCACATCTTTATCACTCTCTTCACTCTCAACATTGCTCCCTTCATTTTCATGCACTCCATTAGTTATTGCAATCGACATATTCTTCCTTGCACAAGACTTCCAATCCCAATAAGAGTTCTCATAAAAAATCAAATCTCTAGAGATGACGATTTTCTTGGTTTTAGGATTATACAACCTGTAACCCTTTTCATAGGTTCCATAACCAAGAAAAATACATTTGACACTTGTTGCATCTAGTTTCTGTCTCATCTGTGATGGAACTTGTGCATAGCATAGAGGGATCTAAACACTCTTAAGTGTTTCACTCCAGGATTCCTTCCATTATATGCTTCAAATGGAGTCTTCTTATTCAGAGCTTTGGTAGGGCATCTATTAAGAATGTAGACTGTAATGTTAACTGTTTCTGCCCAAAACTCAAATGGAATACCTTTCTCCAACATCATGCATTTAGCCATTTCTACAATGGTCTTATTTCTCCTCTCTGCAACACCATTTTGTTGTGGAGAATAGGCCACTGTGAGCTGTCTTTCCAAACCTAGATCTTCACAAAACTGAGAAAATTCAAGGGAAGTGCACTCTCATCCTCTGTCACTTCTTAATTTCTTCTATTTGTACCCACTTTGTAGTTCAACAGTTGCTTTGAATTTCTTGAACACACCAAATGCCTCAGATTTACTCTTTAGAAAATAAACCCATCACATTCTGGTACAATCATTTGTGAAGGTGATAAAGTACTTGTTTCCAGCTTTGGTAAGTGTTTGCATTGGTCCACATATATCAGTGTGAATCAACTCCAATGGTAAAGTAGCTTTCCACTTGGTTTCTTTGGGAAAAACATCTCTGGAATGCTTGCCAAGTGCACATCCCTCACACACTGTGGTGTTCATTTTTAGCTCAGGCAATCCAATTACCATATCATACTCTTGTAGTTGCATTAGAGCATTCATATTCAAATGCCCTAGCCTTCTATGCCATATCTCAGCAGCTTGCCCAACACTAGCTCTTATGACAATTTGGATTCTTGGTTGCAACTTAAAGGGAAAGCTTCGATTTCCTTTCATTGGGATCTTAACAACTAGATTAGAGCATGTGAAATCATCATAGATTATGACTTCAATTCCTCCAAATACAAGGTAGTACCCATGCTCCATCATTTTTCCTACACTCAACAAATTCTCTTTCAAACCAGGTACTAAATTATCTCCCTTATGTACCTTTTGCCTTGCTTAGTTTCAACCAATAAATCACCATTTCCAACCACATCAACCAATTGCCCTATGCCCATCTTAACTTTGGCAGTGACATTCCTATCTATATTCACCAATAGATCTTCTCTCCCTGTCATGTGGTTACTACAACCACTGTCAACATACCAAATGTCTTCACCCTTATTCACAGCAGTTTTCATACACACAGAACATAGTTGGATTATTCTCCACTTGACCAACATAATTTGCATGTTGAGTAGCTTTCTTAGACCTACAATCCTTGGCAAAATGCCTTGGCTTATCACAGTTATGACACCTTGGTTTCCCCTTGAACCAACACTCTCCAAAATGTAATTTGTCACAGTATTTGCAAGGGTTCTTGGCTCTATCAGAAGGTCCAACAAATTTCCCTTGCTGGTGCACAGGTTGTTATCCCACTTCTTACCCTTTGTCTTCCAATTCTTTGTGGGTTTGAAGTTTTGGTTGGCATTATAATTGTTCTTCCTGGAAGCTATACTTAAGCTAGCAAAAGCTTTTTCAATACTGTTTTTAGAATGCCTCTCAATTCGTTGTTTATACTCTTTTAGAGTAGCAATTGCATCCTTCACATCAATAGTCTCCAAATCCCTAGTATTTTCAATCACAACTACAATACTATCATAGGATTTAGGGAGGCTAATTAATAACTTTTGCACGATTATTTGATTTCCAATATCTTCACCATAACTTTTCATTTGTGTAATAAGATCAAGTAATCGCACAAGATACACAGAGAATGCTTCATGCTCACCTATCCGAGTATATTCAAAATCACGCTTTAAACTTTGAAGTTTCATAGCTCTTACCTGTTTATCTCCAATAAAATCTTGCTTCAGTATATCCCAGTCCTCCTTTGCCGTTTCTAGTATGGTGATCCTTGGGAAAATCTCATCTAACACAGCTCCTTGAATGATGTCAAGAGTCTTAGAATCTTTGATTGTGTTCTCCTTCAGAAGCTTAAGCTCAATTGCAGTGAGCTATTCTTCTCTTTTCGCCGGAGGACTGTACCCTATCTCAACCATATCCCACAAATCGTGAGATCTGAATATGGTCTTCATCTTTATCTGCCAAAAATCAAAGTTTTCTCCATTGAAAACCGGTGCTCGAAGATCAGCACCACTCGATCTAGCCATATTAGACTTGTTATCGAGTAACCCAGAAATTTTCAGAGCTTTCTTCAGTTGCAGCAAAACCCGATTCTCCTCCGAGTTCTTTTGCTATCAACCACGTCACAGTTTCACACCCAGATCAAGATCGAACCTGGCTCTGATACCATGATAGTGTTTGATTTCTGGATTGAGTTTCTTCAATGGAATAGTGAAAACAAAAATGTACAGAGAGAAAGAAATTAGAGAGCCATGGAAGCTTCAAGGTTCATTGGATTCCACTCTACCAAGCAAGAAGCTCGGAGAGCATATATTACCGTTAGAGGACCGTTAGAGGAGTAACAACCTCACTCTCTGACATCATTACAAATATATCACAACCATCCATCATCAAGTCATCATGTAAGATGCTTATACTTATCATGAGCTATGACTCATTACAATCTAATCTAGATGTTATATGGAATATGATCCAAAGGCTCACATTAAATCTTACAACCTACATATAATAAAACCATCACAGCAAATACATTAATACACCAATAGATTTGTGTTTTCATAACCTGGGATCTACATGTAGATTACATTTCCTTATGCTATTAAGATAATATATTTTGAATCATTGCTCATGCTCGAGTAATGATTAATTACAACCACTTGGTTCTATGATGGAACTCCAATTGTTAAGATTTCACAGTTAAACCATTGAGATTAGTCTAGGTCGTGATAATGAATTGGAAAATCGTTAGGATTACACTAGGTCACGAGTATGATTCCCTCCATTTTGGTTTTAAAATTAAATAAAAATAATAAAAATAATTCTATTGCCATAATGTTTAGGGAAATGTTTTTATATTAATTAACATAGATGTGTAGAAGAAGAAAAAGAGTGAACCATTTCCGCTCATGGAATAGGCGCTTTCTAACCAACCTTTTCAGCTCATAAAATGTGACTATTAGCGTCTTCAATCACCAAGTCCGCGGTTACATGTTTACCACGTATGAACCATTTCGGTGACTTAATCGATTGCCATGGGCTGCTGCAACTCAATATGACAAGCTGTCAAACATGGCAATAACTTACCTATCACATATTGTATACCCCTCTCTCGCCTTCGTCACATGATTAGTGATGTGATGAGAGGGAGAGAGGAGAATACAACACGATACGTAAGTTCCTCTTCTCAAACACAGTAACAATAGGCTTATATTCAAGCATCCTAAATCTTCCAATCATGAAGTTACAAGCAGTTTATTTGCTGCATGACAAATGCACATAACAAAGCAATTCATCGGGCACAAGGGAGACAAACAATATTTCTGCTCTTGCTTTCGGAATACTTGCTTTCCCTCAAAAATAAAACCCACAAAAATAAAAGGAAAACAGTCCCTGAAGAAAACCTCTTATACAACATTTGATGCTCTAAAACAAAAAGCACTCGCAAACACGGTCAGGATTCAGGACAAGCAAAAATCATGGATTGTGTTAGCAACAAAGTGTTCAACTGACTGCTGCAAGCGCTTGGGCAATATATGCTCCGTATTACTAACTTCATGAGACCTCATCAGTTTGCTCAAGACAATATCATTGAGCCCTGGATCTGAATACATGGTTGCATCTCCTGAAATGATTAGAGCAGCATGATTAGTTTCTAGAGATTGAAAACCAAATGTAACAGCAACAACACAGTAGGAATTAAGTGAATCGAGAAACCAGCAGCAAAATAGGGAAATGCGTAAAAGTTGCTGTAGTGCGAATGAAGGAACAAGTTACCCCAATCAAACAATCATAAATACTCCCCATATCATTTGTTTCTTATTTAACCCATCAAGCTGAGGATATATTCGATGCTTCCACCAGGTTAGATACATTTTCAGAAAGGATTGATTTGGCCAAACAACTTATTCATCTTGCAGTCCTACATTTAAAAGGTCTTCACATAACATGTTGACAAAATTAAGAACATTACAACGAACATGGAGCATTATAATTAAAGTCAAGTCAGAAACTAGAAAGTGCAAGAGTATTACGACTTCAATTCCTCATTCCTGCTCTTAATATCATTTGACCATAAGACTGGGTCAACATTCTTTGGCAACGAGTCTTGTTGTTGGTTTTTCTCCCTAAGCCACCGCTCCACTTTATAGCACTCATTAAAAACCTGAAACATGAAAAGTCAAACGCAGAAGAAAATATAATAGTCACATTTATATGAGGCATAAGTAACTAACTGAATTCGCAGCCATCCGGTAATCCCCAATGCACTTTAATAGATCTCTTGTAGCTTGCAATCTTGCTTCCTTGTCTTTATATCGGTTCTCAATTGGATTTACCAGCTACAGTTATCAAATAGACATCAAGAATGGAGAAAGATAACCGGAATTTAAATTCTCAAATTTCAAGAAGTGGAGAAAACCTTCTGAAGATCTTCCAGCCTTGAAGTATAAGCATTTTCTGTTTCATCTTCTCCATCATCATAAAGCCATTCCTCTGTCTGCTGCAGGCTCCTGGAGATGCCCTCCATCTCTTGATAACTTGCAAAGCTTCGATATGTGTTGAGAAGCTGTTCACATGCATGTCCTTATGTTAAAAAGCCAGCCTCTGGCAAAAAGTGGCAGCATGAACTAAAAGATCTACGAGAGTCTGACTAAGCTACGGTCAAACATGCTCAGGTATGGATAATGGCACAAACAGAGATACAACAATAAGGGACTGATTTTTTGCCCAAAGATATATAGAACTGATTATCATCCCATACTATAGAACAGTTCAAAATTGTTTGCTTAAAGAAAATATTACTAGATGCAGTGTTCCCCATTGTGCATTTCGGTCTTTATCACACCCACACCATGAAAACCAAATCTTTGAGTTGCTAATATTTACTCCCAGGCCACATGGGGATTAAAACTATTCCGGTATTACAAGAAGAATGTCAGTGCTATGTCCTTATACTGCTTCAAAAAGGCGTAAGTCAAACCACGGCAAAGTGATTGAGCAGGCAAAGCCGAAGCAAACATGATGGAAAGATAATGCAGGCTATACCTTATTTTGCATCTCATAGACGTAAGACTCCAACGCATTCTTTTTGTCTTTGGTTTGTTCCATAATTTTGTCCTGTTGAGCTAACTGGAGTTCTTTTTCTTGAGCTTCTGAAAGTTCAGCCTTGGTCATTCCACCATATATACTTTCACTAACAGGTATCTCTAGCGTCCTGGTGGCTTTTTTGTTTCTTTTAGCCTCACCCTGAAAATTTGGATATCTTTGAATAAGTTTACATCTGCTCCACAAACTTTAAACACAACTGAATTTGACAGGAACTTTGCAAAACCAAAATAGTATGCATTGCAGATTAAGTATAAACGACAAGATTACTGTAGATTAAGTATAAACGACAAGATTACTGTAGATTAACTATAAGGGAATTATCACATTTATTCAAAATTTGGATTTATCTCTAGTTTTTCCAGCATGAAATAAAGGACATAAATAAGAACTAAATTACGAGGGAGTGCATTTCTGTAACTTAAGAAGTTGGAAACAAACTTACACCAGTATGTGAAGAGTTGTGCTGCATACTGCTTTCTTCAAATCCATCTGCAACTGCCTCAGTAGAACCAGAAGCAGTTACATAATCAGTGTCCATTGGTTCCATTTTTGAACCGGCAAGACCCCCTGTAGAAGAGTCATCTCCGTGATCTTCCATCACCTAAAGCCATTATAAGATTTATACCACAAAACTTTCGACCAAAAAAAAAAGTACCACAAAACTATGATCCTAGGAAATCAGTAAATGACAAAGTAGATATTGTCGGGAAAAAAAAAAGGTTTTACTTACCATAGCTGATTCAACAGAGACAACACCGTGGAGATCTAACATAACTTTAACTTTAACCCTTGTTTTTTCGCCATGGGAGCATTGGAAAGGGCCAATCTACATAAACAGCAGCCCTTATTGAGGAAGTAACAGTAATCCAATTAAATAAAAGGTATTTTCATTGCACGGTAAGCCAAAACAAAAGGATCTAAATGACATTTGCATTGAGCAGATAGTAAATCTTTTTAATTGGGTTTTGGTGGCATCTCTCTCCCTCTAATGCCCACACATAAACATTTAATTGTTTGACATGTCAAATACTGGAGTCGTCTCCCCCAACTGTTCTATAAATTGTCTAACTAAAAAAAAACAGAAGATTTTAATCATCCTAAATTCTTAATCTTATAGAGGCTTCAAAGATTAGACATTGAACTTAGTGTTCAGTGGTAACATGATTGCCTTTGATTTACTTTCACTTCTCTATGTGGTCATCCTTTCTACACATTTTTATCATGCATCCCCACCAATTCCCCTCTACCACCCCACTGAAAAAAAGGGAATGAAGAGCATAGTATATTACAGTAAAACAACAAATGTCAGGAGAAGTGCCAGCAGGCACTTCGCTGGGATTAGCATAGAATGCTTTCAAATGAAATAAACTGCTTCGTCGAAACATCAGTTCTTTAACACTTGGAATGGGTTGGCCTTTTGGAAACAGGATGCCACTTGTCCCTGTGCAAATTGGAGCTTCATCGATTAAGAATGCTATTGAGAAAGGAATTGAGTCTTGAACCTGCATAGAGATCCGGGAAAACCATTACAAACATTGTGGACAACTATCCAGATAGCAAAGACGTCTCACAAGTGTGTCTACATTTTACAATTAAAGCCACAAGTTTGTGCTTTGTCGGTAGGGGTTTTTGGAATGCACATCAATTCCAGAATGAGTAAGCAGTCGTTACCCTTTGTCATACTCTCAAATTTCAAAAGATAAAAAAAGAACCGAAAGAAGGGAAAAGAAGGGGGGGGGGTGGTGGTGTGGGGGGGCATTGCATAGAACAGCATAGCATTACTGATGCATCTCTTGTTCTATACAGGGGCAGAACAGCGTAGTATTACTGATGCATTGCATATGAACAAACATATCATGGTATTCTTAACTGACAGTAAAGCACTGTATTTGTGACCATGAATTGAAAGTTTCAAAATACAAACCTCATGTTCTCTGACTCGAAAAACAGGACTGAGCATTGCACATTGAAGAGCGCATCCACGTGCTACACACTCACTCGCATTCAGCGTCCGGCCAGGTTCTTTCCTGAACACAGAAGCTAATATTCTAGCAACCGCTGGAATCCTAGACCCTGACCCGACAAGCTCCACAGAATGAATCTTATCAGCAGTCAAACCTGCATCAGATAGAGCTTTGCTACAAGGAACACCAATTCTCTCCAACAAACCTGAAGCCAGCATCTCAAAGTCTTCCCTTTTAATAAATCCCCTGACATCTTTTTCATCCATTAAGCACTCAATATTAAGAGGTGCCTCCGTATTCGCACTCAACACTTTCTTCAGCTTCTCACATGCTGCCCGTAGCCTGATACTTGCCTTCACATTAGAGTACACATCAATCCTGTACTGCTCCTTGAACTGTGTGGCAAAATGATTAAACAAGACCTCATCGAAGTCTCTCCCTCCCAAGCTTCTGTCAAAAGTATGAGATAGTATCTTCATTTGCCAAGCCTCAAATGACGCAATAGAGACCTGTGTATCACAGTGACCAATGTCAATAAATGCCACATAAGTTGGACCAGAAGTTGAGAAATCTGTTTTGTAAACTCCATAACTATGAGCAGTTGCAGTACAGTCATGCATCAATCTCAAAGGCTTCAACCCAGCAACTGTGGCAGCATCCAAATATGCACGTCTTTGGAAGTCTGTAAAGTACGATGGAATTCCAATCACACATCTGAAATGGGCATTTCCTGATTCTTCTCTATTAGATCTTTCAAATGTGCAAAAAGCATTGCTGTAACTTGAACTGGCGTAAATGTATGAGTCGCGCCCAAGTACTTCAAATGAATCAAAATGCCACCATCTGGAGCTTCAGAAGTTTCAAAGGGCAAAATTCGAAGGTCACGTTGAACATCAGGCTCAGTAAATTTTCTACCGATCAGTCTCTTCACCTGAGACACCGTAGATTTCGGGTTCATCATTGCAGAGGCAGCACCAGCAGACCCCAGAAACCTCTGCTTCTCACCAAAACAAACCACAGCTGGGGTTTCACGTTTCGATTCATCATTCAACAAAACATCAACTCCCCGTTGCTTCACCACCGCAATTACACAATTCTCATTTCCAACATCAAACCCCACCACACTCATGTTTAACAAAATTTCGAAACGAAACTATCGGCACCAATTAAGTTCCACAAAACCTACAATTCAATCCCAACACTGCAAAGAAGAAAAAAGATACACAGAAATGTGAATTCAATCTACTTCAAACAAGCTTTCACTAACAAATGCTTAAACATTTTTATTAATAACTGCTGTTATACGTTTATCAAATTCCTAAACCCAGGTAAATTTAGCCATCAGTACATTTCAATTTTCGAAATCTGAGGATCCAGGGACTCAAAATTCCATCAGGATATTTAATTTTCCTTCAATTTTCCCAGAAACCAAACAAAATTCAAATGTCAAATATTTCAAAAGCAAATCCGCAAAGTACTACCAAAATCTGCACAGAAATGATGAATTGAGCAGGCTGAGGAAGGTGATTGCAGTACCGTTTGAGAAACGACGTTCCGGAAAGAAACCGAAGAAGAACACCATGAAATTGGGTAATTTCAGAGAGAAGAAGAAACTATTAACAAAACTGCAGAAACTTAAGAACTAAGGAAAATGAAGCACGAAGAATTTGAGAGAGAAAGAATGAGAGCTGATTTCATATCAGTAAAGTTGTTACAACTGTTGATCTTCTAGCTATTTATAGAAGCTAGGTAAACTTAATGACTAAGAAGGCTTCTAATTAACTCATGCTACAAGATTGTGACACATGTACACTCAAGATCATTACACCTATCCATTTAGAGACTTACACTTAATACCCCCCTCAATCTCGATTGGGGTATCCTAGCTTGAGATTACCCCTGTTGAGATTGGAACAATGCTGCAGAAATAAGGGACCATGAAGACCTTTGGTCAATACATCTGCCACTTGATCATTTGTAGAAATATACTCAACCAACAAATTTCCCTTTTGAACTCGTTCACGAACAAAGTGAAAATCTGTATCAAGATTTTTTATCTGAGTGTGAAAAACCGGATTAGAACACAAAGCAAGTGTCTAAACATTATCACAGAAGAGAAGTGGAGGAGATGGCAAGAAAATATGCAGATCCTTAAGAATCAAATGTATCCATGCTACATCAGCAGTAGCATTAGCCAATGCTTTATATTTTTCTTCTGTTGAACTTCTGGAAACACTTCTTTGTTTCTCTGACTGCTAAGAAATGGGATTGGGACCTCAGAATACCACAAAGCCAGTTGTTGATCTTCTAGTGTTTACATCTGATGCCCAATCAGCATCACTATAAGCAGTTAAATCCATAGAAGCAGTAGCAGAAAATGTGAGAGCATAACGCATAGTGCCTTGTAAATAACGCAAAATCCTTTTCACCAAGGAAAAATGCAAATTTGTTGGAGTGGACATGAACTGACAAGCATAATTAACTGCAAAAAGCTATGTCAGAACGTGTAAATGTAAGATGTTGTAAGACACCAACCAGACTACGAAATAAAGTAGGGTCAGAGATGAGTGTTCCTTCATCTTTAAACAATTGAGTATGTGGCTTGCAAGGAGTGAAAGATGGTTTGCATGAGTCCATGGATGCCTTGTGAAGTACATCTTTTACATACTTAGATATGAACAAATCCCCATTGTCCTTGTAAGTAATCTGAAGACCCAATAAGTATGTCAATAATCTCATATCCTTCATATCAAATACCTCTCCTAGCTTATCAATCACTTCTTGCACTAACCCAGGTTATGAACCAATGATAATTATGTCGTCGACATAGAAGAGAAGAATCACAACTTCATTGTCTAGAGCTTTAACTAACAAACTGGGATCGGATTTAGAAACAACAAATCCCAAATTAGGTAGATAGGTGGTAAATTTCAAGTTTCAGGCTCTAAGAGCTTGTTTAAGTCCATAGAGAGACTTAACAAACTTACAAACATACTGAGGATGATTAGGGTCTTTAAACCCTTGTGGTTGCTTCATGAACACCTCTTCTTGAAGATCACCATTTGACATCTAATTGGCGTAACTTCCACCTTTGTGACGCTGCAAGAGCAAGGACAAGTCTTACAGTTGTGTGTCTTACTACAGGGCTAAGTGTATCAGCATAATCTAACCCATGTTCTTGACTGTAGCCTTAGGCCACTAAGCGAGCTTTATATCTGGAAACCTTGCCATATTGATCCTTCTTAATCTTATAAACCCACTTACTTCCTATCACATTCCTATAAATTGGTGGTGGAACCAACTCCCATGTTCCCTGTTTTTGCAAAGCATTGAACTCTTGTACCATAGCATTCCTCCAGTGATCATGAACAACTGCTGTTCTAAAAGTAGTAGGCTCAACAGAATCATGAATAGACAAAACAGCAGTGTAACCCTTGAACACAACATCAACAGATTCACTAGCATTTGTCTCAGAGAAATCAGCGGTAGATGCTATATAGGAACTATAATCTTTCCTAGAGATGGCACCAGATTTAAGTCTAGTTGTCATAGGATGACTTGAAGATACAACGGGTAAATCAGAATTAGCAGCAGCATTTGAATCATTATTTGGATCAAGTGAGAGAGTTAACCACCACTGTGATGAACACTGCCAGATGGTGTATTCTGCCAATTAATCGAAGAATCCATAGTGTTACCACTTGAATGATCAGGCCTATTAACTGAAGGTATTATAATTGGAACAAGTATGGGATGCTTGTCTAAAGGAGTATATAACTGCTGTGAAGAAGAACGCACAGAACTCTCCATAAATGGAAACACAGTTTCATCATGGACCACATGTCTTGAGATAAACAATTTTTCAAAACTCAAATCCCGCCCAATAAATCCCACTCTTCCAGTCTCACCCATTTTTCATCTCCCTCCAATTTTCCATACCCAAAATCCATTTTCTCGATTTCTCTCCATGGCCGACTACGAGCCTCCGTCGTTCTCTCTCGGACTCGACCTTGGTTTCGATTCGCAGCTCCAACCAGCTGCCGCGAACCACTCCACACCCGCCGCAGCTCCAAACTCTTCGCGGGGTTCCAATGCCCATACACCCGTTGAGGTAGATGAGGAGTTAGAGCCTCAAATCACGGGCCCGGATCCAGATCCTGGGTCCTGACCCTGCCGACCGCTCAAGCGGCTTAAGAGAGGGGAGGCTGAGAAGCCGAACCTACGCCGTGTCGTAACGACGATATCGAAGATTTCTCGTCTGGGGAAGATTTTGTTCAAGGTAATGATAAAGATTTATCATTTTTGTTCGTTTAGGGTTAGCTGGAAATGGGAAGAGAATAAATGTGTGATCTTTTATGCCGTATTTGATAAAATTGGGAAACAAAATTGGGGCAAATAACGTTAATTGTTTGCAGATGCTTAGGAGTTAGGAGAATAGAGTAATTGTAAAGGAAATATTTTTTGTTTCATTTCGCTATCGATTTCGAAGGAACAAACATGGAATGTAATTAGGAAGTTGGTAACTGGAAGAAAGTAGTATTTTTTGTTAGATTTGCAGATGTAATGCAATGGGGTTTTTGATGTGGTAAGGGGCCCTTTTGCAAAACTCATGGATCTTGGTGATTTGGGAATTAGGGTTATGTGCAGTATGAACTTTGAGATGGGAAAATGGTTAATTATGGTTGCATCTCTGACATCATTGATGTGTGCATCTCTCTCCTAATGGATTAAAATATCGATAATATCGGCGATATTTCGCCAATATTATCGTTTTGGTGAGAGTCCGATATTTTTACACCTATCCACTTGATTATCGTCAATATATCGAGATAATATCGATAATATCGCGATAATATCGATATTACCGATATTATCTCGATATATTAGGCTGGGAGCCGGAGACTCCTCAGAGGCGCCACCCTGAGCGCAGATCCGAAGGCCAGAGCGGTGACTGCGGTGGCGACGAGGGTGGATACGAACAAGGGGGAGATGGATGCGGCGGGGGAGGTTGGGATGGGAGCCGGAGACTCCTCGGAGGCGCCACCCTAAGCGCAGATCCGAAGGCCAGAACGGTGACGGCGGTGGCGACGAGGGTGGATACGAACGAGGGGGAGATGGATGCGGCGGGGGAGGTTGGGATGGGAGCCGGAGACTCCTCGGAGGCGCCACCCTGAGCGCAGATCCGAAGGCCAGAACGGTGACGACGGTGGCGACGAGGGTGGATACGAACGAGGGGGAGATGGATGCGGCGGGGGAGGTTGGGATGGGAGCCGGAGACTCCTCGGAGGCGCCACCCTGAGCACAGATCCGAAGGCCAGAACGGTGATGGCGGTGGCGACGAGGGTGGATACGAACGAGGGGGAGATGGATGCGGCGGGGGAGGTTGGGATGGGAGCCGGAGAGACTGAAAGCACAAAGTGGGGTTGGATTTGAGATCCAATTTTGAGGTTCTAAAAGTGAAAGGGCGAAGAAGAACGCAGATGAGGGAAGAGAGAGAGAGAGAGTAAAAGATTCAGTTTTGGGTTTCTGAAAGGTCAAAAGTTGGTGATGGGGTAAGGTGGACAGCTATTTACATCAGATGGGTTATTATGAAAACCACCCACTTGCATGGGCGTGGGATTTTTATATTTTAAAAGTTTGGGAGGTATATTATATTATTATATGTATATAAATGTTATATAAATTATAAATTATTAGATTTTTTTTTTCTTAGGCAAGCATATTAGATATGTACATAAAACATTGACATATGTATGTTCTTTTATAAGAAATAACATATTATTCAATAATTATTTACATCTGATATAGTAAATTTAATTAATTCATATAATATATAAGAAATTTACCTAAATCCGCCTAGACCGTCTAGGTGCCCGCCTAGATCCCACCTAGCCACCTAGGCGCTAGGCGCCAGCCCACCGTCCGACTAGCGCTTAGCGTTTTTTAGAACCTTGGTATTTATAGCTGGGGTTTTTTGTGGGTAGTGGCGGGCAGGTCGGGCAGCTGCCCGTTAGAAACAGGCTGGCCAATTGTTATTGGTTCGGCTCAACAACTCACATTGCTTAATCCCTTGCTTAAATGAGTGTAAAATATTGTACTAATTCATTATATATAAATGATTATGGTGTGTTTAAACTTCTTTCATTAATTACTACATATTTTCTACACTCATAATGTTTGCCAGCTCGCTATATAATCAACTTAAATCAGTTAAATCCATCATGCAATGCATTTCCTTCCAATTTTTTGTGATAAACTAATAGATAATTGACTAAATAAACATCCTGCAAAGTTTCAATAAAAATTTCCAAGTTTTTCTTACAATTTCCGTGGTTTCCATGTAATTTTTATCGATATCGATATTATCCCGATATTTCCATCGATATTTCCGTGTTTTCGAACTACCGATATTTCCGATATTACCGATATTTTCTTCCTTGCTCCTAATGCTCTCGTTTTGTCGCCAGGTTTATCGTTCGGCAGCCTACAGACGGTATAAGAAGGTACATATAAACCCGTCCATGCTTCTCCACGTTTCATTCTTCTCTTAATGCAGCTCACACATTTGTGCATTTCATCGACAGGAAAGTGGACGTTTTAAAGAAAAATGTTCCCAAGGAGAGGTGAGGCTGACAGTTAATGGCCATGTACCAAAAGTATTTCTGTACCATTTCTTGTCGATAATTTTACTATCCGGAATCTTCATAAACTCTTTGTGTGAACACTTATTTCTTGAAATAAAAAAGAGATTTGTGTTTTCATAACCTGGGATCTACATGTAGATTACATTTCTTTTGCTATTAAGATAATACATTTTGAATCATTGCTCTCGCTCGAGTAATGATTAATTACAACCAGTTGGTTCTATGACGGAACTTCAATTGTTAAGATTTCGCAGTTAAGCCATTGAGATTAGTCTAGGTCGTGATAATAAATTGGAAAATCATCAGTATTAAGTCACGAGTATGATTCCCTACATTTTGGTTTTTAAATAAAAATTAAAAAATAATAATAATAATTCTATTGCCGTAATGTTTAGGGAAATGTTTTTATATTAATTAACATAGATATGTAGAAGAAGAAAAAGATAACCATTTCCACTCATGGATTAGGCACTTTCTAACCTATCATATCAACTCATAAAATGTGACAATTAGCGTCTCTGATCACCAAGTCCGCGGTTACATGTTCACTATGTACAAACCATTTGGTTTGGTGACTTTAGGGCTGGTTTGGTATTGCTGTGCTTTGAAAAAAAGCTGCTGTGAGAATATGCGGCTGTGCTGTGAGAATAAGCGGCTGTGAAATAAATCAGCAGAGTGTTTGGTAAACTTTTTTGTAAAAGTGCTTTTGAAAAAAAAAAGCAGTCTAATAGTGGGTCTTTTCATTAAAGAAGCACTGTAGCTTCGTGTGCTTTGAAAAAAAAGCCAGTTTTCCAAAGCTACAAATAGCAGCTTCAGCTTTTTCCTTTGATTTCAGCTTATTCTCACAGCAGCTTCCAAAATAAGCCCTTTTTTTTCAGTTTACCAAACACCTAAAACCCTCACAGCTTTTTTTCATGGGTGCTTTTTTTTTAAGCACCTCACTCCCAAACTAGGTCTTAATCGATCGCCATGGGCTGCTGCGACTCAATATGACAAGCTGTCAAACACGGCAATAACTTACCTATCACATGTTGTATACCCCTCTCTCTGGCCTTCGTCACATGATTAGCAATGTGATGAGAGGGAGAGAGGGGAACACAACACAGGATACATAAGTTCCTCTTCTCAAACACAGTAACAATAGGTTTATATTCAAGCATCCTAAATCTTCCAATCATGAAGGTACAAGAAGTTTATTTGCTACATGACAAATGCACATAACAAAGCAATTCATCGGGCACAAGGGAGACAATATTTCTGCTCATGCTTTCGGAATACTTGCTTTCCCTCAAAAATAAAACCCACAAAAGAAGGAAAACTGTCCCTGAAGAAAACCTCTTACACAACATTTGATGCTCTGAAACAAAAAGCACTCGCAAACACGGTCAGGACTCAGGACTAGCAAAAACCATGGATTATGTTAGCAACAAAGTGTTCAAATGACTGCTTCAAGCGCTTGGGCAATATATGCTCCGTATTACTAACTTCATGAGACCTCATCAGTTTGCTCAAGACAATATCATTGACATAGGTCTTCGGCAGAAGAACAAGCAAAAATCAGAGTCCGATATTGACTATTATGTTCTTGTATACTGCTGCCCATCCATTCAAAGGCAAAACCGTGAATGCAACAGAAACAGTTGTCAGAACAAAAAAGAAAGTAGGGCTTTAAATTTTTTTTGTACGCATCCTGCATTGTTCCACTCACTAGTGATCAGAAAGTGTCATGTTGGTTAGAGCCCTTGTGGTCCTCGCGATTAGGAGCCCTGGATCTGAATACATGGTTGCATCTCCTGAAATGATTAGAGTAGCATGATTAGTTTCTAGAGATCGAAAACCAAATGTGACAGCAACACCATAGGAATTAAGTGAATCGAGAAAACAGCAGCAAACTAGGGAAATGCATAAAAGTTGGTGTAGTGCAAATGAAGGAACAAGTTACCCCAATCAAACAATCATAAATACTCCCCATATCATTTGTTTCTTATTTAATCCATCAAGGTGGGATATATTAGATGTTACCACCAGGTTAGATACATTTTCAAAAAGGATTGCTTTGGCAAAACAACTTAATGATCTGCAGTCCTACATTTAAAAAGTCTTTGCACACCATGTTGACAAAATTAAGAACATCAAAAAGAACATGGAGCATTATAATTAAAGTCAAGTCGGAAGCTAGGAAGTGCAAGAGTATTACGACTTCAATTCCTCATTCCTGCTCCTAATATCATTTGACCATAAGACTGGGTCAACATTCTTTGGCAATGAGTCTTGTTGTTGGTTTTTGTCCCTAAGCCACTGCTCCACTTTATAGCACTCATTAACAACCTGAAACATGAAAAGTCAATCGCAGAAGAAAATTTAATAGTCACATTTATATGAGGCATAAGTAACTAACTGAATTGTCATACCGATTCTCTATCCATGAGTGGAAGTGAATTCACAGCCATCCGGTAATCCCCAGTGCACTTCAACAGATCTCTTGTAGCTTGTAATCTTGCTTCCTCATCTTTATATCGGTTCTCAATTGGATCTACCAGCTAGAGTTATCAAATAGACATCAAGAATGGAGAAAGATAACCGGAATTTAAATTCTCAAATTTCAAGAAGTGGAGAAAACCTTCTGAAGATCTTCCAGCTTTGAAGTATAAGCATTTTCTGTTTCATCTTCTCCATCATCATAAAGCCATTCCTCTGTCTGCTGCAGGCTCCTGGAGATGCCCTCCCTCTCTTGATCACTTGCAAAGCTTCGATATGTGTTGAGAAGCTATTCACATGCATGTCCTTATGTTAAAAAGCCAGCCTCTGGCAAAAAGTGGCAGCATGAACTAAAAGATCTACGAGAGTCTGACTAAGCCAAAGTCAAACATGCTCAGGAATGGATAATGACACAAACAGAGATACAGCAATAAGGGACTGATTTTTTGCCCAAAGATATATAGAACTGATTATCATCCCATACTATAGAACAGTTCAAAATTGTTTGCTTAAAGAAAATAAAGAGTAGTCACAAAGCTTAAATCCTAATATTACTAGATGCAGTGTTCCCCATTGTGCATTTCGGTCTTTATCACACCCACACCATGAAAACCAAATTTTTGAGTTGGTAATATTTACTCCCAGGCCACATGGGGATTAAAACTATTCCGGTATTAGAAGTAGAATGTCAGTGCTATGTCCTTATACTGCTTCAAAAAGGCATAAGTCAAACCACGGCAAAGTGTTTGAGCAGGCAAAGCCGAAGCAAACATGATGGAAAGATAATACAGGCTATACCTTATTTCGCATCTCATAGACGTAAGACTCCAACGCATTCTTTTTGTCTTTGGTTTGTTCCATAATTCTGTCCTGTTGAGCTAACTGGAGTTCTTTTTCTTGAGCTTCTGAAAGTTCAGCCTTGGTCATTCGACCATATATACTTTCACTAACAGGTATCTCTAGCCGCCTGGTGGGTTTTTTGTTTCTTTTAGCCTCACCCTGAAAGTGTGGATATCTTTCAATAAGTTTACATCTGCTCCACAAACTTTAAACAACTGAATTTGAGGAACTTTGCAAAACCAAAACAGTATGCATTGCAGCTTAAGTATAAACGACAAGATTACTGTAGACTAACTATAAGGGAATTATCGCATTTATTCAAATTTTGGATTTATCTCTAGTTTTTCCAGCATGAAATAAAGGAAATAAATAAGAACTAAATTACGAGGGAGTGCATTTCTGTAACTTATGAAGTTGGAAACAAACTTACACCAGTATGTGAAGAGTTGTGCTGCATGCTGCTTTCTTCAAATCCATCTGCAACTGCCTCAGTAGAACCAGAAGCAGTTACATAATCAGTGTCCATTGGTTCCATTTTTGAACCGGCAAGACCCCTTGTAGAAGAGTCATCTCCGTGATCTTCCATCACCTAAAGCCATTATAAGATTTATACCACAAAACTTTCGACCAAAAAAAAAAGAGTACCACAAAACTATGATCCTAGGAAACCAGTAAATGACAAAGTAGATATTGTCAGGAAAAAAACAAGTTTTACTTACCATAGCTGATTCAACAGAGACAACACCGTGGAGATCCAACATAACTTTAACTTTAACTTTAACCCTTGTTTTTTCGCCATGGGAGCATTGGAAAGGGCCAATCTACATAAACAGCAGCCCTTATTGAGGAAGTAACAGTAATCCAATTAAATAAAAGGTATTTTCATTGCAAGGTAAGCCAAAACAAAAGGATCTAAATGACATTTGCATTGAGCAGATAGTAAATCTTTTTAATTGGGTTTTGTTGACATCTCTCTCTCTCTAATGCCCACACATAAACATTTAATTGTTTGACATGTCAAATACTGGAGTCGTCTCCCCCAAGTGTTCTATAAATTGTCCAACTAAAAAAAAACAGAGAAGATTTTACATCATCCTAAATTCTTATAGAGGCTTCAAAGATTAGACATTGAACTTAGTGCTCAGTGGTAACATGATTGCCCTTGATTTACCTTCACTTCTCTATGTGGTCATCCTTTCTACACATTTTTATCATGCATCCCCACCAATAAAATTCTTAGTGTCACATATTCCCCTCTCCCACCCCACTGGAAGAAAGGGAATGAAGAGCATAGTATATTACCTTAAAACAACAAATGTCAGGAGAAGTGCCAGCAGGCACTTCACTGGGATTAGCATAGAATGCTTTCAAATGAAATAAACTGCTTCGTCGAAACGTCAGTACTTTAACACTTGGAATGGGTTGGCCTTTTGGAAACAGGATGCCACTTGTCCCTGTGCAAATTGGAGCTTCATCTATTAAGAATGCTACCGAGAAAGGAATTGAGTCTTGAACCTGCATATAGATCCGGGAAAACCATTACATGCATTGTGGGCAACTATCCAGATAGCAAAGACGTCTCACAAATGTGTCTACATTTTACAATTAAAGCCACAAGTTTGTGCTTTGTAGGTAGGGGTTTTTGGAATGCACATCAATTCCAGAATGAGTAAGCAGGCGTTACCTTCAACCAATAAAAATGAATTATAAAGCAAACATTAATCCTTTTTTAAGGTGGTCCCTAAGCCTAAGCTTTGTCAGAGGCATTGTCATACTCTCAAATTTCAAAAGAAAAAAAAAAAGAACCGGGTGAGGGGGGGGGGGTGTGGGGGAAGGGGAACAAACTCATCTCTTGTTCTATACAGGCATTGCATAGAAAAGCATAGTATTACTGATGCATTGCATATGAACAAATATATCATGGTATTCTTAACTGAAAGTAAAGCACTGTATTTGTGACCATGAATTGAAAGTTTCAAAATACAAACCTCATATTCTCTGACTCGAAAAACAGGACTGAGCATTGCACATTGAAGAGCGCATCCACGTGCTACACACTCACTCGCATTCAGCGTCCGGCCGGGTTCTTTCCTGAACACAGAAGCTAATATTCTAGCAACCGCTGGAATCCTAGACCCTGACCCGACAAGCTCCACAGAATGAATCTTATCAGCAGTCAAACCTGCATCAGCTAAAGCTTTGCTACAAGGAATACCAATCCTCTCCAACAAACCTGAAGCCAGCATCTCAAAGTCTTCCCTTTTAATAAATCCCCTGACATCTATTTCATCCATTAAGCACTCAATATTAAGAGGTGCCTCCGCATTCGCACTCAACACTTTCTTCAGCTTCTCACATGCTGCCCGTAACCTGATACTTGCCTTGACATTAGAGTAAACATCAATTCTGTACTGCTCCTTGAACTGTGCAGCAAAATGATTAAACAAGATCTCATCGAAGTCTCTCCCTCCCAAGCTTCTATCAAAAGTATGAGATAGTATCTTCATTTCCCCAGCCTCAAATGACGCAATAGAGACCTGTGTATCACAGTGACCAATGTCAATAAATGCCACATAAGTTGGACCAGAAGTTGAGAAATCTGTTTTGTAAATCCCATAACTAAGAGCAGTTGCAGTACAGTCATGCATCAATCTCAAAGGCTTCAACCCAGCAACTGTGGCAGCATCCAAATATGCACGTCTTTGCAAGTCTGTAAAGTACGATGGAATTCCAATCACACAATCTGAAATGGGCATTTCCTGATTCTTCTCTATTAGATCTTTCAAATGTGCAAAAAGCATTGCTGTAACTTGAACGGGCGTAAATGTATGAGTCGCCCCCAAGTACTTCAAATGAATCAAAATGCCACCATCTGGAGCTTCAGAAGTATCAAGGGGTAAAATTTGAAGGTCACGTTGAACATCAGGCTCAGTAAATTTTCTACCAATCAGTCTCTTCACCTGAGACACCGTAGATTTCGGGTTCATCATTGCAGAGGCACCAGCAGACCCCAGAAACCTCTGCTTCTCACCAAAACAAACCACAGCGGGGGTTTCACGTTTCGATTCATCATTCAACAAAACATCAACTCCCCGTTGCTTCACCACCGCAATTACACAATTCTCATTTCCAACATCAAACCCCACCACACTCATGTTTAACGAAATTTCGAAATGAAACTACCGACACCAATTAAGTTCCACAAAACCTACAATTCAATCCCAACCTGCAAAGAAGAAAAAAGATACACAGAAATGTGAATTCAATATACTTCAAACAAGCTTTCACTAACAAATGCTTAAACGTTTTTATTAATAACTGCTGTTATACGTTTTCAAATTCCTAAACCCAGCTAAATTTAGCCATCAGTACATTTTAATTTCCGAAATCTGAGGATCCAGGGACTCAAAATTCCATCAGGATATTTAATTTTCCTTCAATTTTCCCAGAAACCAAACAAAATTCAAATGTCAAATATTTCAAAAGCAAATCCGCAAAGTACTACCAAAATCTGCACAGAAATGATGAATTGAGCAGGCTGAGGAGTACCTGATTGAGAAACGACGTTCCGGAAAGAAACCGAAGAAGAACACCATGAAATTGGGTAATTTCAGAGAGAAGAAGAAACTTGGTAGAGAGGAAAACTCTGCCCTTTGCTCGCATTGCAGAATATACAACGCCATATTCCTCCTTAATAAAGTTATGCCATTTTATGGGGATCTGTTGGCAAATAATAATATTCTCAGAAATGCCTTTCTGTTTCTCGTATTTAACAATTCCCTCTGTTAGATTTCGATTTTTTGGTTCGAAGGAGAAATTTTGGGAAGACCTTGGAGACTTGGTGCAAGGAATTGCTCAGACGGAGAAGTTATTTATAGGAGGAGATTTAAATGGACACGTGGGCAGGGAGACAGGCAACTATGGAGGTTTTCATGGTGGCCATGGTTTTGGGGAGAGAAACGAGGATGGGGAAGCTATCTTGGATTTTGCAATGGCATATGATCTCTTCTTAGCCAACACCTTCTTTAAGAAGCGGGAAGAACATGTGATCACCTACAAGAGTGGGTCGTCAAAAACACAAATAGATTTTCTTCTAATGAGGAAAAGGGATCGTATAACTTGTAAGGATTGCAAAGTTATACCAGGAGAGAGCGTGGCTAATCAACATCGCTTGTTGGTGATGGATGTCCATATCAAAAGAGTGAGAAAAAAGAACAAGACTTGGAAGTGCCCAAGGACTAGATGGTGGAATCTAAAAAGAAGAAAAACAAGTCATTTTCAAAGAGAAAATAACCACCCAGTGTGTGTGGGGATAGAGAGGGGGAAGCTAACCAAATGTGGGATTCCATGGCTAGTTGTATCCGAAAAGTAGCAAAAGAGGTATTAGGAGAGTCCAAGGGCTTTGCCCCACACCAAAAGGAATCGTGGTGGTGGAATGAGGAGGTACAAACAAAGGTGAAGGCTAAGAAGGAATGTTGTAAAGCCTTATACAAGGATAGGACCGATGAAAATGGTGAAAGGTATAGAAAAGCGAAGCAAGAGGCGAAGAAAGCTGTGAGAGAAGCTAAGTTAGCGGCTTATGACGATATGTATAAACGACTAGATACCAAAGAAGGAGAGTTGGATATCTATAAACTAGCTAGAGCAAGGGAAAAGAAGACAAGGGACCTAAACCAAGTGAGGTGCATCAAGGATGAGGATGGAAAGGTTCTTGCTACAGAGAACGCGGTTAAAGACAGATGGAAAGGTTATTTTCATAATCTTTTCAATGAAGGACATGAAAGGAGTGCTTCTTTAGGGGAGTTGAGTAACTCAGAAGAGTGTAGAAACTACTCTTTTTATCGTAGAATCCGGAAGGAAGAAGTGGTTGTAGCTTTGAAGAAGATGAAGCATAGAAAAGCAGTAGGCCCAGACGATATACCAATCGAAGTGTGGAAAGTTTTGGGAGAGACGGGTATAACATGGCTCACTGACCTTTTCAATAGGATTTTGAAAACGAAGAAGATGCCAAATGAGTGGCGAACGAGCACTTTGGTGCCTATCTACAAGAATAAGGGCGATGTACAAAATTGCATGAACTATAGGGGTATTAAGCTAATGAGTCATACAATGAAGCTCTGGGAGAGAGTCATTGAGCATAGATTGAGGCAAGAGACACGGGTGTCGGACAACCAATTCGGGTTCATGCCAGGGCGCTCAACCATGGAGGCAATCTATCTCTTACGAAGATTGATGGAAAGATATAGAGATGGGAAAAAGGGATTTACACATGGTCTTTATAGATTTGGAAAAAGCGTATGATAGGGTCCCAAGAGACATTCTTTGGAGGATTTTAGAGAAGAAAGGAGTACGAGTAGCATATATCCAAGCTATACAGGATATGTATGAAGGAGCAAAGACTGCCGTAAGAACTCATGAAGGACAAACCGAAAGCTTTCCCATAACTGTAGGATTACATCAAGGCTCATCCTTAAGTCCTTACCTCTTTGCGTTGGTAATGGATGAGTTAACAGGACATATTCAAGATGATATTCCTTGGTGTATGCTTTTCGCAGACGATATAGTGTTGATAGATGAAACTCAAGAAGGGGTAAATGCAAAGCTTAACCTTTGGAGAGAAGTGTTGGAATCTAAAGGTCTTCGCCTAAGCCGATCAAAAAACAGAATATATGGAGTGCAAGTTCAGTGCAAATGGAGGCCAAAACGAGTTAGGGGTGAGGATCGGAGATCAAGAAATACCAAAGAGCGACCGTTTTCGTTACCTAGGATCTATCTTGCAAAAGAACGGAGAATTAGATGGAGATCTCAACCATAGAATACAAGCTGGATGGATGAAGTGGAAGAGTGCATCCGGCGTGTTGTGTGACCGCCGTATGCCACTGAAGCTCAAGGGAAAATTTTATAGGACGGCAATAAGGCCGGCGATGCTGTATGGCACAGAATGTTGGGCGGTGAAGCATCAACACGTACACAAAATGGGTGTAGCGGAGATGAGGATGCTTCGTTGGATGTGTGGGCACACGAGAAAGGATAAGATTAGGAATGAGGATATCCGGGGTAAAGTAGGAGTAGCCGAAATTGAAGGAAAGATGAGAGAAAATCGGTTACGGTGGTTTGGACATGTGCAAAGAAGGCCTACTGACGCTCCGATTAGAAGATGCGACTATGGGACAGAGGTTCAGGGCCGAAGGGGTAGAGGAAGACCCAGGAAAACTTTGAGAGAGACCCTAAGAAAAGACTTAGAGTACTTGGATCTAACGGAGGACATGACACAGGACAGAACACAATGGCGTTCTAAGATTCATATAGCCGATCCCACTCAGTGACTTGGATTTTCCAAGTCTCCAACCGAGAAGTTGTCCTCGTTCGGGAAATTAAGGGAACACTACCTCAACCTACATGCTCCACTCACAAAAGCTCCAACATACAAGCTTCAACAAAAGAAAATTCAAAGAACTTAGCGAAGAAGGCTTTGGTGATTTAACACAATACGTTGAAATGAAGGAAAGCTTATTTATTGATATCTTGATAAATTACAAATATGTACATATACTTGAGTCAAAATAAACAAACAAGAGGGAGCCTTCACAAAGGTTGCTTAGGAGAAGCCTCGGCAGTCGGTAGAGCCCCAGAAAGAGAAGGCACCGGAGGGGGATCATTCGGAGCCTCAGTACTGGACAGAACCCTAGAAGGAGGAGGCATCAGAGGTTGATCATTTGGAGCTTCATTACGCGGTACAGCCCCAGAAGACGAAGGCAATAAATGCCTTTGGAACAAACCCACAAATCTCTGATGATCAAGTAAAACCTGACCATCAGATTCCTTCATCTGGTCAAGCTTCCTCTTCATGTTTGTAGCATAGTCATGTGCGAGCCGGTGCAACTGTTTATTCTCATGCTTGAGCCCTCTAATCTCCTGTTTGAGACTCATCACTTCAGCCGCCAATGATTCAACTTGGCGGGTTCGAGCAAATAGGCGTTGTGCCATATTAGACACAGAACCTGCACACTGAACACTAAGAGCCAGAGAATCCTTAACAGCCAACTCATCAGACCGTTTGGAAAGTAGTCTGTTATCTTTGGGAGTGAGAAGGTTCCTGGCCACTACCGCAGCGGTCATATCATTCTTCATCACGGAATCCCCAACGGTAAGAGGACCAGTAGGGGAGACGAAGGATGGGCGCCATATGTTGTCTGGAGAAGGCGGGGCTGCCTCTTCAACAAGGTTCAAGTCAAAACGACGGTCGGAGGGGGCCAGACATTTTCAAAGGTGTAGAAGAGAGAAGAGGTCGGACAAATCAAGTTCTTAGAAGTGCAAGAATGGAGCTTCTACAGGTGGATATTCAAGTGTGCTTTGGAACTTAATGTTAGCCTCTATAAAAATCTGCACTCGACGAAGCTTCAGAAATCGAAGAGGCGTTTGCTTTCTCAAAAGCTGGGCTGCTCAGAGACCACGAGGGTCGATCTCAGAAATCGAAGAGGCGTTTGCGTTCTCAAAAGCTGGGCTGCTCAAAGACCACGAAGGCCGATCTCAGAAATCGAAGAGGTTTGCTTTCTCAAAAGCTGGGCTGCTCAGAGACCACGAGGGCCGATCTCAGAAATCGAAGAGGTTTGCTTTCTCAAAAGCTGGGCTGCTCAGAGACCACGAGGGCCGATCTCAGAAATCGAAGAGGTTTGCTTTCTCAAAAGCTGGGCTGCTCAGAGACCACGAGGGTCGATCTCAGAAATCGAAGAGGCACCTACTTTTCCAGCCTTGTCAGCACCTGTCACACGCACACTCAGCTTTGCGGAAATTATGGGCATTCTGTCGAAGATTTTCTGGCGAAGTAGAAAGCACATGAATCGTACTGTTCAATCACCCACTTCCCACACGCAACAGTAGCTCATGGGTACCACATATAACTTTGCCAAAAGTTCTCTGACAAAGTTGAGACTACTTTTCCAGCCTTGTCAGCACCTGTCACACGCACACTCAGCTTTGCGGAAATTATGGGCATTCTGTCGAAGATTTCTGGCGAAGTAGAAAGCACATGAATCGTACTGTTCAATCACCCACTTCCCACACGCAACAGTAGCTCATGGGTACCACATATAACTTTGCCAAAGTTCTCTGACAAAGTCGAGACACGTGAAGCTTGCAACTCTCACTACATCGCTCTGACCAAGAAGGGTAAAAGAATAGCAAAGAAACAACACTAACAAAGTTTAGACACATAAATTTTGACGGCCTAGCTACCATATTATTACCCACAAGGGTAAAGGAACAGTACCACTGCTGCTGGATAATTGGAAAGTCCCGGTGTGTCAACCTCTGTGCTTCATGGCAAGGTAGACTAGTAAACATGCCCAACCTTTACTCACATTCGAGAAAACACTCCCAACAAGATTGCTTGCCCCAAAATCGAAGAGGCATCGCCCTCCGAATCTCGAGAGCCAGACTCCCAACATGATTACTTTCTCAAAAATCGAATAGAGGGTAAAGGAACAGTACCACTGCTGGATAATTTGAAAGTCCCTGTGTGTCATCCTCTGTGCTTCGTGGCAAGGTAGACTAGCAAATATGCCCAACCTTTACTCACATTCGAGAGAAAAACACCCCAACAAGATTGCTTGCTCCAAAATCGAAGAGGCACCGCGCCTCCGAATCTCGAGAGCCAGACTCCTAACATGATTACTTTCTCAAAAATCGAAGAGAGGG